GAGCTCTGGCTACAAGAGAGGCAAATATTGAATCTAGGCACTTTGCTTTTTTTTTTTTTATGTTTTTGCACTTTTAATAAGTGATATGTTTTTTTTTTCCTGTCCTTTTTATTTTTTCAATAATACAAATTCCTAAGTACACTTTAGGAATATATGATTCTTCCCACCATACCCACACTCCCACCTCCTCCCCTCCTCCCGCTCCTCTTCCCAATCCCACTATCCTTTAACGATTCATTTTCATTAACTTTGCACACAGAAGACAACTCTATACTAATTAAGATTTCAGTAATTTGCACACATGCATACAAACACATACAACCTGAGACTAGTTTTACAGTTAACTCTCACAATACAACTCATTGAGGCAGTCCTGCATGGGAGTTAGAGTACAGTTACACTTTGTTAATAGCAACTCTTACGTATGATCGGTGACCACCTGAGGCTCTTGACATGAGCTACCTAGGCTATGGAAGCCTTTTGAGTCCACAGTCTCCATCAGTATTTGGATAAGGCCATAAGCAAAGTGGAAGTTCTCTCCTCCCTTTAGAGAAAAGTACACCCTTTTTTGATGGCCACTTCTTTCTGCTGGGTCTCACTCACAGAGATCCTTCATATAGAACATTTTTTTCCACAGTGTCTTGGCTTTCTATGCCTCAACTGCTGTCACAGGCTTTTCAGCCAGACCAGGAAGCCTTAAGGGCTGATTCTGAGCTCAGAGTGTTACTTAAAGCGATTGCCATGCTATAAGTCAGCTATGTGAACTGCTTCCTGTGTTGGAACATTCTCTCCTTTTTAAATCTATCTATTATCATGGCCGGCGCCGCGGCTCACTAGGCTAATCCTCCGCCTTGCGGCGCCGGCACACCGGGTTCTAATCCCGGTTGGGGCGCCGGATTCTGTCCCGGTCGCCCCTCTTCCAGGCCAGCTCTCTGCTGTGGCCAGGGAGTGCAGTGGAGGATGGCCAGGTGCTTGGGCCCTGCACCCCATGGGAGACCAGGAAAAGCACCTGGCTCCTGGCTCCTGCCATCGGATCAGCTCGGTGCGCCGGCCGCCGCGCGCCGGCCACGGCGGCCATTGGAGGGCGAAACAACGGCAAAGGAAGACCTTTCTCTCTGTCTCTCTCTCTCACTGTCCACTCTGCCTGTCAAAAAAAAAAATTAAAAAAAATCTATTATCATTACCAGACCCTTGATCCATTTATTTGATCACCTTTTTTTTTTTTTATTTGACAGAGTTATATATATAGAGAGAAAGACAGAGAGAAAGGTCTTCCTTCCTCTGGTTCACCCCCAAATGGCCACCACGGCCGTCACAGTGCTGATTCGAAGCCAGGAGCCAGGTGCATCCTCCTGGTCTCCCATGTGGGTGCAGGGACCCAAGTACTTAGGCCATCCTCCACTGCCCTCTTGGCCCAGCAGAGAGCTCAACTGTGGAGGAGAAACTGAGATGAGAACCCCGCACCCATATGGGATGCCAGCGCCGCAGGCGGAGGATTAACCAAGTGAGCCACGGCGCTGGCCCCTATAAGATCACTTTAACATATAATCCTATCTATATGTTCACTTTAGCACTTACTATGATCACTTTAACACTGAAGACAACATTTTTACCATCAAGCTTAATGGGATTTGGAGTCCCATGACAAGTTTTTAAACTGTACCCTTAGGAATAAGTTCATAGGAATATATGTAGAACTATACAGCTTTACTGTTAAAATGTCCTCCTCCTTCTCTTATTCCCACTCTTATTTTTTACTGAGATCTATCCTCAATTGACTTTATACACATATGATTAACTCTATGCTAAGAAAAGAGTTCAAGAAATAGTACAAATGAAGAAATTATAAAAAACTGTTCAACAGTCAAGACAAGGGCAGCTAAGTCATTCCTTCTTGAAGTGTCACTTTTAGTTCTAGAGATTTCATTTTAGGTGCTCTATTAGTTCTCACACGTAAGGGAGAATGTATGGTATTTGTCTCTTTGGGACTGGCTTATTTTTACTAAGCATGATGTTTTCCAGATTAATCCTTTTTGTAGCTAATGACTAAAGATTTCATTTTTTATTACTGTGTAGTATTCCATAGAGTACATATCCCATACTTTCTTTATCCAGTCTTTGATTTTCAGGCATTTAGATTGATTCCATGTCTTAGCTATTGTGCAGTTAACATGGAGGTACAAATAACTCTTTTATTTACTGATTTAATTACCCTTGGGTAAATTCCCAGGAATGGGTTGGCTGGGTCATGTGGTCAGATTTCTGAGGTATTTCCATAGTGTCTTCCATAATGGCTTTACCAGTTTACATTCCCACCAACAGTGGATTAGGGTACCTTTTCCCCACATCCTTGCCAGTATTTGTTGTTTGTTGATTTCTGTATGAAAGCCATTTTAACTGGCGTGAGTTCCTTGATGGCTAGTGATCCTGAGTATTTTTTCACATGTCTGTTGGAAATTTGAATTCTTCTTTTGAAAAATGTCAACTTAAGTCCTTGGCCCATCTCTTAAACTGGTTGTTTGTTTTGTTATTGTGGAATTTCTTGATCTCTTTATATATTCTGGTTTTAATCCTTTATCAGTTGCATAGTTTGCAAATATTTTCTCCCATTCTGTCAGTTGCCTCTTCACTTTCCTGCGTGTTGTTGTTGTTGTTGTTGCAGTGCAGAAACTTCTCAATTTGGTGTAATCCCAATTGTTAATTTTGGCTTTGATTGCCTGTGCCTCTGGGGTCTTTTCCAAGAACTCTTTGCCTATGTCAGTGTCTTGCAGGGTTTCCCCAATGTTCTCTAATAATATGATGGTGTCGTGTCATAGATTTAGATCTTTAATCCATGTGGAGTGGATTTTTGTGTAAGGTATAAAATAGGGGCCTTGCTTCATACTGCTGCATGTGGAAATTCAGTTTTCTCAATATCATTTGTTGAAGAGACCGTCCTTGCTCCACGGATTGATTTTAGCTCTTTTGTCAAATATAAGTTAGTTGTACATGCTGAATTGATTTTTGGTATTTCTATTCTGTTCCATTGGTCTGTCTATCTGTTTTTGTACCAGTACCAGGCTGTTATGGTTATAACTGCCTTGTAGTAGGTCTTGAAATCTAGTATTGTCATGCCTCTGGCTTTGTTTTTGTTGTATAACATTGCTTTAACTATTTGAGGTCTCCTGTGCCTCCATGTGAATTTCAGCATCATTTTTTTCTGTATCTGAGAAGAATGTCTTTGGTATTATGATTGGTATCACATTGAATCTGTAAATGGCTTTAAGAAGAATGAACATTTTGGTGATATTTATTCTTTTCAGTTTATTCCTCCAATCCGTGAACATGGAAGAATTTTCCATTTTTTATATGTTCTTCTATTTCTTTCTATAATGTTTTGTAATTCTCATTGTAGAGATCTTTGACATCCTTGGTTAAATTTATTCCAAGTTACTTGATTTTTTTTTTTTTGTAGCTATTCTAAATGGGATTGATCTTAGATGCTCAATCTCAGCCTTAGTATTGTCTGTGTATACAAAGGCTGTTGATTTTTGTTTATTGACTTTATATTCTGCTACCTCACCAAACTCTTCTATGAGTTCAAATACTCTTTTTTTTTAAAAAAAGATTGAATTATTTATTTGAAAGGCAGAGTTACAGAGAGGCAAAGGGAGAGACAGAGACTGAGAGACAGAGACAGAGTTCTTCAAACCACTGTTTCACTCCCCAGATGACCACAAAGGTCAGAGCTGTCCTGATCCAAAGCCAGGAGCTTCTTCCAGGTCTCCCACGCAGGTGCAGGGCCCAAGGGACTTGGTTTATGGCCTAGTATATGGTCAATCCTGGAGAAAGTTCCATGTACTGGTGAGAAGAATGTGTATCTCAACTGTAGGATGGAAAGTTCTGTAGATATCTGTTAGGTCCATTTGGTTCATAGTGTTGATTAACTCTGCTGTTGCCTTGCTGATTTTCTGTCTGGTTCATCTGTCCATTGCTGGAAGTGAGGTATTGAAGACCCACATTACTGTTGTATTGGAGTCTATGTCTCCCTGTAGATATATTAACATTTTTTTAAATAGCCAGGTGCTCTGTAATTAGTTGCAGATATGCTTATAATAGTCATATCTTCCTGTTGAATTAATCCCTTAATCATTACATAGTGCCCTTCTTTGTCTTTTTTAACAGTTTTTGTGTTGCAGTCTATTTTGTCTGATATTAGGATGGCTGTGCATCTCTTTTTTGGTTTCTGTTGGCATGGGATATCATTTTCCATCCTTTCACTTTCAGTCTGTGTGCATCTTTGTTGGTGAGATGTATTTCTTGTAGGCAGCGAATAGATTTTTTTTTAGCCATTCTGCCAGTATGTGTCTTTTAAATGGAGAGTTGAGACCTTTTACATTAAAATGACTGTTGATAAATAACGACTTTGCCCTGCCTTTCCCAAAAATATTCCTTTTTTATTTTTTAACTTTGGGTTTCCTTTGAACTTTTACTAGAAGATTTTCTTCCTTACCTTCTTTCATAGTAAAGACCATGTTTCTGTGTACAGCACATCCTTAAGCATATTGTAGGCCTGATGGGTGGTAACAAATTTTTTCAATTTGTGTTTGTTATGGAAAGTCTTTATTTCACCTTCATTCATAAACGAGAGCGTTGCAGGCTACAGTATTCTGGGCTGACAGCTTTTTTCTCTTAAGACTTGGAATATATCTCGCCATTCTCTCCTACCCTATAGGATTTCTGATGAAAAGTCCACTATGAGTCTAATTGGAGATCCTCTGAAAGTAATCTGGCATTTCTCTCATGCACAATTTAGAATATTTTCTTTGTTTTACTTCGGTGAGTTTGATTACAATGTGTTGTGGTGAACATCTTTTTTGGTGTTGTCTATTATGAGTTCTATGTGCTTCCTGTACTTGGGTGTCCTTCTCTTGGTCTAAATTATAGAAATTTTCTTTAATTATTTCACTAAAAAGGTCTTCCAATCCTTTCTCTCTTTCCATGCCTTCAGGAACTCCTAGAACCTTTATGTTGGGTCAATTGATGTTATCCTGTAGATTCCCAACAGTGATTTTTAGTTTTCTAATTTCATCTTCTTCTTTTTGGTTTGACTGTATACTTTCCTGTGCTTTGTCTCTATGTCAGATATTCTTTCTTCTGCTTCACTGAATCTGTTGTTAAGCTTTCCACTGCGTTTTTTATTCTATCAAATTCGTAATTTCATTTTCATTTCCCTTTAGGACCTCACTTTTGTGGGAGAAGTTTTCTTTCATATCCTGTATGGATTTCAGTAGTTTTCGTATTTGCTTCTGATTATTTCTATGTAATATTTTCAATTTTTTGAATTCCATTTGTAGTATTTATTCAGTCTTGTCATCCCCACAATCTGGTATTGAAGTGTTTTGTTCTTTTGGGGTTATCATGTTGTCTTCCTTATTCTTTTTTTCGTGAATTGGTATGTTTGTTATTCGGCATTTGTGGAGATACTTGTTGGTTTCTTCTTTGTTTTTTCCTCTGTAGTGACTTTTATCTTTGTACTATGCCTTTGTAATTAAGTGAAGTGTTTGCTCTCAGTGAATATCTAGAGATGTGTCATGGGTGTGGCCAAGGAGCTCTGTTCAGTTCTCCAGAGTGAAGAGCATGTCTAAGGTGATACAGTCAGGTTTGGCATGGTAAATATCTTCTCTCTCTCTCTCTTTATCAGAAGAGAAGTTTATTCTCTCAAATCAGCTCCTTTCCTCAAAGGAAACCAGTGCGTGAGTGCTATCCCTGATGGGTATAATATTCATCCGCTCTGCCCCAAGGACCACACAAAGGATCTGTGCAGTCCTCAGTATAAGCTCAGGTTCCCCAGCAGTGTCCCTCAGCAGGTAACCAGGACGCCCTGAGCGTATGGAGTCTTCCACAGCAACTCCCCAAAGTCCCAGCCACATGGTGAGTCCTCCCACACAGCCTCAGTTGTTTTCACAGTCCCAGCACACGAGCCTCCCACAGTCAGGAGCACCCAGCCCCCTGTCTGTCCTCCCCAGCAGAGTCAGGAGTCTCCATTGGCTGGTTGCTGGGTGGAGATACCAGCTGGTGCAACAGTTACCTGTGTCCACAATGGTACTTGTTTTATCGGCTTGTTACAGGACGCCATTGTAAGGTGATGGGGAGAGAGAAACGTGTCCCTGCCTTTTTTTTTCTTTTTTTTTTTTTTTAAATTTCTCCTCTAGTTTGGCAGATAGACTTTCTCCCCTGGGGCTCCAAGCCGGGTCCCCTCTAGGCTCTTCCTGCAGCTTTACTGTCAAAGGCTTGGCCTGCTGTGGCCTGGTCTCACCTCACTTTGCAATGCCAGTGTGTAGGCTCTTGGCTGCTGGAGTCCTGATTTGTGGACATCTGTGCCCTTCAAGTAGGTCCACTGTGTCCCTCTAATTGGTGTAGAGTTTCCTCTGCCATTTTCTCTGTAACTCTTCCCTGACACAGTGCTCTCCACTTTATTTAAACTATCTTCTCCTAGACTAGAGCAGTAAGCTCCCTACCTACTCTGCCATCTTGGAAGCGCTCTCAGCACTTTGCTATTGTATGTGGATGTCTTAACTGCTAGGCCAGAGAACCTGAGTCACATCTTCCTTTTAACAGGCATCCCAGGAGATTTTGAAGAGGTGATCATTTGACCACGTTACTGTATATTGCTGTGGATGGCTCACGTGGTCCCTTGCAGCTAGCCATGACTTTAAATGCAACAGTCAGACTTGACGTCCCAGAATCTCACTCATAAATTCATGTATGAAAAACATACTGTCTGGGAGACTGTGTTGGGTGTTCAGAACATCACAGTGACCAAAGTAGACATATTGTTGATCTTGCAATGCTCATAGTGCATTGAACTGTTTTCTTCATGTGTTACTCATCTCAAAAACTTCTTTGATTTCCTGTTGCTTACAGATTACAGTCAGTTCACTGTATTTCCTGAGGTGCTAATAGAACGTAAGAAAAAAGGGAATTAGATTTGATTTCCAGGTTTGGTTTTACTGCTCCCCCTCTATGTGTTATGCACATGTTTACGTTTCATTTAGGAAACGGGGAGGATTGTGTGAGATCACTGTTGGGCCTGTCACTCAGTGCTTGAACCTAAATTGTGATTGCTGTCTTCTTACCAGTCAGGTATGAAGGATACACACCACAAAACGGAAGTAGTATGGGAAAACTGGGTTTCATAATTGTTTTCCACCAAAATCAACTTGCCCTTCACTTCTGTTTTCCATAAACTTTTTGAAGTACCTTCTCATGTCTCCAGTTCTAATGTGTTACCACTCATCAGATCCTTGTCAGTTTCAGAGTGGTTAAAACCTGAAGTAAAATGCATCATAGGGCAAAGTATAGCGTGAGTTTGTACGCATGAGAACGGTGCCACCCAAAGCTGTCTCACTCGTCTGGCACTCCTGAGAGAGCCGGTCTTGGTTAAGAAGCAGAGATGCAGGGAGAGTGTCAGTGTCAGCCCAGAGGAGCCTGCTGGTGCTCCCCGGGCCCGCCTCGCCACTGAACTGCGGTGTGTGTCGAGATTGCTCATGCCGCTGTAGCTCAGTGGCTAGCTCTCTCACCCGTCACTCCTTCCCACAGCTCCAGGAGACTGGACTCCGGGAGCACAGTGCTTCTCAGGAGTTACAGCCTCTTTATTTATGTTTCCCTTTTAATTTAAGTGGGGTCATTTCAAACCATTGTAAAAAATAAGGATCGTGATCTCGTGGAGACCCTCTCCTCGGCTGCCCCCACGCCACCACACACAGGAACCATTCCCCAGCCAGGGCTCTTGTCGATCACATCAGCTACTTCTCAGACTTTAAAGGAAGTTGTTGTAGTGCCTGAAACTACAAGGGCTTTCTTAGTTCTCTCCCAGTTTTTACAGAGTCTGCCTGTTCCTGGGAGGCAGAGGATGACCTGTTAAGGGAGTTAGAAGAAAGTACCGGTGTCAATCCTTCCCTTTCAGGAGAACTCGTACTCCTGCTTTGCCACCTGTTCTCACTCAGCTCCCTCTTCCTTTCAGACACGCCTCGCCTTAGAATCAACTTCTGCCACAGCTGGTCATCGGTGTTTGTGATGTGACTAGAGATATTTTTGTACTGCGGGGAGGTTTTGGATGATATCTTCCATTTCAAAAGTCGGAACTTCAACAGCTAGTTGAAGTGAATGACAGATCACTGATCTGGCCTGTCGGAACCAGGGGAGTTTAAGAGCAGGAGACAGCTTTGAGTTCTTGGAAGATGCTTCACAATCAAGTGGTATTGACAGAGTAGTGTGTGCAGGGGCAAACGTGGGAGGGAGGAGGAGCGGGGAGGGATAAGGAGTCTGTGTAGGGACGGTGTACTGAATGGACAGGCACAGAAGGTATGGCCAGGAAACGTGGGGGACAGGAAATCCTGTCCAGGTAGGTTGGGGCTGGGTCCTGGAGGCCTGGGGATCTAACCTAAGGATTTTCAGTTTTATATTTTATGGAGCCAGAGTATCTAATGTTATCTTACAAAGACAGACAGACATCACTTCCTTGAAAGTTCTAATCATCTTCTGAAAGGGAATGACCTGGGCACGGCACGGTGGAGCTGATTCTGTCTACCATCCCAAAGCCTTTGTATGTTGAGTGGATACAAACACAGCATACCTCCCGATGGGTGTTCCTGGGACAGGCGTCTCTGTGTGTGTGTGTAGGCATGGATGGACATTCCTGAGACAGGAGGCCTTGGGAGAGTGGAGGGGAGTAGAATGCTGATTTCTGCTCTAGTGAATAAGGAAGGGTGAAGTGCAGTTCTTTTTTTTTTTTTTTTAAGATTTATTTATTTGAGAAACAGAGTTACAGAGGTAGAGACAGAGAGATCTTCTATCTACTGGTTCACCCCCTAAATGGCCACAGTGGCTGGAGCTGGGCCAATCTGAAGCCAGGAGCTTCTTCTGGGTCTCCCACGTGGGTACAGGGGCCCAAGCACTTGAGCCATCCTCTGGTGCCAGTCATGTCAGCGTGGAGCTAGAAT